GCCTTTTCTATTTCTATGAGGAATGCCATTTGGATTTTGATTGGAATTGCATTAAATCTGTATAGTGCTTTTGGTAGTATGGTCATTTTGATAATATTAATTCTGCCTATCCAAGAGCAAGGTAGATCTTTCCATCTTCTAAAGTCTTCTTTGATTTCTTTCTTTAGGGTACTGTAGTTTACACTGTATAGCTCTTTCACTTCTTTTGTTAAGTTGATTCCCAAGTATTTTTTTTCAGGCTATTGTAAATGGGGTAGTTTTCCTCATTTCCCTTTCAGAGGCTTTGTCACTGATATACAGAAATGCCTTTGGTTTCTGGGTGTTGATTTTATGTTTTTATTTATTTTTTTTAAATATTTTTTAGTTGTAGATGGACACGATAACTTTATTTTTATTTATTTATTTTTGTGTGGTGCTGAGGATAGAACCCAGGGCCTCACACATGCAAGGCAAGTGCTCTACCACTGAGCTACAACCCCAGCCCCGGATGTTGATTTTATATCCTGCTACTTTGCTGAATTAATTTACTAGTTCTAGAAGTTAGCCAATCCCCCAAAAAACAATTGCCGAATGTTTTCTCTGATATAAGGAGGCTGATTCATAGTGGGGTAGGGAGGAGGGGCATGGGAGGAATAGACAAACTCTAGATAGAGCAGAGGGGTGGGAGGGGAAGGGAGGGGGCCAGGGGTTAGCAAGAATGTGGAATGTGATGGACATCATTATTCAAAGTACATGTATGAAGACACGAATTGGGTGTGAACCTACTTTATATACAGAGATATGAAAAATTGTGGTATATATGTGTATTAAGGATTGTAATTCATTCCACTGTCATTTATTTTTTAAAAAATCAATTAAAAGTTTAAAAAAAACAAAAAAAATAAATAAGAGACAGTTTTTTTTTTTTCTGTAATCCCAGCAACTCAGGACCCTAAGACAGGGAGGGGATGGCAAATCCAAAGCCAACCTCAGTAACTTATCAAATCCCTGTCTCAAAATAAAAAGGGCTGGGGATATACCTCAGTAGTAAGGCACTCCTGGGTTCCATACCCTGTTATGTAAAAATAAATAATATAAAATAAAAGGGACTTTTTATGGTATATGAATTATGTCTCAATAAGAAAAAAAACTATCTTAAATTTCAAAGACAGAGTTAGGCTTGTGAGCAATAGGGTCCACATTAATTGGATAAGGTAACAGTTCAAGGAATTTCCATATCCTTAGGTTTACCACACACAGAATGAAACCACTTCATTTTCCAAAGCAGCCACACTGGCTACAAAGCCAAAGTCTGTTTTGATCATGACTTCCAAATCACAAAGACCCATGAGCTATGTCAGCTACTGCCCCATCTCAAAGACCCGTGTCCTTTCATAGCTCTGCCCTATACATTGAGGATTCTTTTTCTTTAATGCTCTAAAATGTTAAAACCTCTATTGGATTTTTCAGCAGCTGAACACCTGCACTAGGCCCAAGACAGGCATACAGACAGCATGCCTTTGTACCTTAGGTTCCTAGAGCTCTTATCTCCTTTCTCCCTCTCATGTCTCAGTACCTTCTATAATCCTTAGCTCAGAGCCTCATCTGGAGTAAGTGTCAAGGAGCAATTAAGTGAGTTTGACACACTACAGCCTAAGGTTCTACAACAAGGAGTACCTATCAGCTTCTAGAATGAAGCCACTGCTCCCATTGGTCCTAATGCTAAAAATGCCAACTTTAGTCTCTGACAAGACATTAACATAAATGAAATCCACAAAACTCGTGTCAAAACCAGCTTAGAAGAACAAGGAGTGCTTCCTCCGCAGACAAGTGACCCTTTCATAACCTTACCTTAGTGTTCTCATACTTCTCTGAGGAAGGATGATAAGGTGGAAAAGACCAGCTATATGGAGAATCATCACTATGATTGGAAGATATACCTTGAAGGAGGAGAAAAAGAAAGTTGTTAAATAAAATATAAAGGGTTTTTAGTGCCTCGTCTTTCAAAATTAAAATTTTGTAAAAACTGGGGAAGTAGAACTTTCCTTCTTGGACCACAGTCCCCTCTTCTGTAAAATTAAGGAACTGAGGTGAGATAAAGAGATATCCCCACCAACAAGAACTATATAGGTCTCCATTTAAATAAGGAATGTCTGACTTCCTGTCCAGAATACCTGGAGATTTGTAGTAGGCTCTGTGGAAGTGATTCACAAGGAAAAGATCAGTCAGGCTGTTACAGCAGCACAGTTCCTTAAAACCCACATTGGAGCCCCTCCCCACCCTTTGTAGGAAGTAGCAGAGCAACCTCCCCACCATCAGGCAAATAGGAAAAGAGAGGCTCAGAGATCTCTACCTTGCCCAGTGCCAATCAGACATCAAGTAAGTAAGCTAGAACTCAAACCCATTCCTTCAGACTCCAAATTCAAGTGCTCAGTTTTGAAGCACAAACCCACCCCTAAGCTTAGAAGCTTACAGTCTACCAAACAAACACCAAAGGACAGACTGACAGTTGACAAAAGTACTGAAGTGCTCTGAAAGGGAGCCCCAAGACACAGAAGTGATGTGGGTCTGGTGAAGGTTGGCAAGGAGGGTCTTTAGAAGTCAGCAAGACTTGCAAGGGATCTGAAGGGAAGTGACACCTGTGGTGGTTATCCAGGAGGAGCAGAAAGGACATCACAGCCAAGACCATGGGAGAAAGGGCATCCCTAGCACAGGAGAACACTGGAGCTTCAACAAGGAGCACCAGAGGACACAGGACTGGAGGGTGGGGTGCTGGGTGAAGGGCCCAGTGACACAACAAGCATGGTGAAAAGAGCACACAGGAGGCTAACAGACCTGGGGTTGAATCCTGACACTGTACCTTAGCATCTATGCCTGCTTGGGAAAACTACTTGTGCAAGCCTCAATTTCCTCCTCAGGAAATGATAAAAATATACCTTGTTTGCTACTGAGAGGATTATGCTAGAGGCCAACATAGTAAATGGCATGTACTTGGCACTCAGTGGTGGGTACTGCCATCCTTGAGCAAGCCCAATTCTAATAGAACAGGTGTTGAGAACAGACCCCATTGAAAAATGTATTTAACCATGGATCACAAGCAAGCTTTTGGGATCTAAGTTGGGCATCACATTCAGAGCCCAAAGCCAATCATAAGGAAGGAGACCAAGCAATTCCACTCAGGCCTTTGGCCTTCCTTCCAGAAGCCCAATCTCCTGCCTCTGATGTATTTCCTTCTCTCTCCAAAAGTATAACTTCCCTCCCTGCTGCCCTTAGGCAAAGAGCATTGTGATGTGACTATCAAACCGCAGAAACTGACTGATATTGAACTTTTGACTGGAAAATATGATTCATGGCAGATTTACTTTCAAAATGGGCCTGACTTAGCCCAGCTTAATGCTATCGCCAATCTGGACTAGCCAACTAGTCTCTGGGAGAAGACTGCCAAGCCTGCTAATATAATTGGTATACAGAGAAAGCCACTGCAAATGTTCACATTTTCACCCTGCCCCATGAAAAGTACTACGAATCCTATGGAGCTCTTGCTTTCAATTTCCTTCCATACTTACAACCTACCTACATTGGGATACTCCTCTGGGAAGGTCAAGATAGCTATAACTTCAGCTTTTTAGATAAAGATTCCAAGGCTCAAAGAGGATAAACAATTTTCCAATGTAAGCCATAAAGCTAAGAAGTAGTAGTGCTGAGACTAGAACCCAGGTGCCCAAAATCCTGTTACTAGTGCCAATAAGCAGTTCAGTCTGATTCTAGAGATGGTCATCCCAATGAAAACCTAAAAAAAAAAAAGTGGTACAAAAAATAGTACAGTATGTTAGACTGCTATGCTGTCATTAAAAATGACTTTTAGAAAACATTATGGGAAAATGTTTAAAATAACTCAGGATATAAAAATGTATATACAAGCTAAATCAGGAAAAAATAATATGCCCAAAATAAGAACATTAAAATGCAGCCTCTCTTGGGATGCCGAAATCAAAAGTGATCTATATTCTTTAGTTTACATTTTCCATTTTTGTCAATCATGAATTGTTTCTATAAATAAAAATAGTTTTGTTTAGGCCCTCATCATTTTAATTTTGGCATGAGAGCCTGTGGCATTAAAGTCTGTGTTGGCAGGCATGCACGTGTATAATTCCAGCAACTCACAAGGCTGTGGCAGGAGAATCCCAAGTTCAAGGCCAGCTTCAGTAACTTAGTGAGGCCTAAGCAATTGAGTGAAACCATGTCTCAAAATAAAAACATAAATGGGCTGGTGATACAGCTCAGTGGTAAAGTGCTCCTGGGATCAATCCCCCAAACCAAAAGAGAATGAGAGAACACCAGTGTTCCAAGTCAGGACTGGCCATCCCTGGCACTCTACAGGTTCTGGGTGGTACCTTATACTCCTACTCTGACATTGGTCACTGAGAGTGGGAAGTAGGACACAGCAAACTACAGTACCTTCACCACATAAGCAAACACAGCAGTACTATTCACAAAGAAATTCCTGAGATGTGCATGCCCCACCCATACCTTCACAGACAGGGACCTCACAGGGCAGAGGGTCAGTCCAGAGCTGAACTCACACCCAGCACTGCCACCTCCCCACCCAGTGTGCCCTTCCCACCACCCGAGGAGCCAGAGGAGGCCCCAGAGCACCACCTCCAGCCTCTGAAAGGGAGCCAGACTCTTTCTACCCTCTTTTCACTTTGACTGAGAACTGAAGCCAAGCTGAGAAGTGGTTTTTCTAGAAAGGCAGCAGTGTAAGCATCCAGGCAGAAAAGGTGTCTGCAGAGACAGCCTCATGCCCAGCAAGGGATTCCCACACTCAGCACAGAACAAGAGAACTCAGACTTTGGGCATGGAGCAGTACCAGGGTGAAAGACTTTTCCAACCGACATGGTCAGGTAGCCATTCTCCTTGAAGTACTGGGGGATGGTGGAGAAGTTTCCTGCGTGCACCCTCCAGTAGGAGTTGAAGTCATACAGGCGCGTGGTGTCAGGCCTCCTCCCAGTGAGGAAGGACACGCGGCTCGGGGCGCACACTGCTTGCTGTTAGGGAGCAGAAGCAGAGGTCAACATCATCACAGTATAAAGTGTCTGCCATCTCCAGGGTAACCAAGCAACCTCCCCAGGTCCTCAGCAACAGCCTGGTGGCTGAGTCATGCAGATCTCAAAGCCACACAGTGGGATTTGGGCCTCACCCAGGTGCCAGAGATTGCATCCTCCTGGCAAGACAAGGCAGAAGTCAGCCCCTCAAACAAGCAGATGCTTGTATCTTCCAATGAGACAGTGTCCCCAGTCACCCCAAGGGAGCAATATGCTTGGAGGCAGCTCCAAGAAGGGGCTCGTGGAGGAGGGCTACCATGCATGGCTAGTTGGCTGGCCCTTGCCCATGGGTAGCATTCTATAGTACCAAGCCATACCCCCTACCAGGAGAGAGCTGGCCAAGGCCCTGAGCATGTTAGGGCCAGGATACCCTCCACCCAATGAAGTGAGGAGGCCTTGAAGGCACAAGATTCCTTAAGTGGATAATCACATTTCTTGGACCACAATTTTCCAGAATATGCTTCCCTCTTTCAGGCAGGTATCTGGCACACTCAGTACCACCAAACAGTAGCTGAAGGGACCCCAACCCTCAGTGCACAAGGAGGCACACCTCCATAACTAGAAGTCCCCAGACTTACCTGGGCAAAGGCATTCTGGAAGAGGAGACTGTGGGATGCCAGCTGGTCGATATTCGGGGACCTCACTAGCTTATCCCCATAACAGCCCAGGGATGGGCGCAGGTCATCCACGATGATGAGAAGGACATTCAAAGCACCTGCACAGGAGGGAGGGGCTTAGTGATGTCATGTGCAGGGATGCTGAAACTCCTCATCCTGTGGTACTGAGAGACTCAAGCCTGGCCCCTGCACCTTTATAATGCAGCTAGGATGGGGACAATCAAGGCTGTGTCTCAGCCTGGGTTGGAGTGGGGTGTAAAGAGGAAGCCTGGATTCTGGGTAGCAGGGTTGGGCTTGGCCATAATTTCAAGCCTAGAATACTGAGAGGGGTGGGGCACAGAGTTTAAGGGGAGAAAGGATGGATGAAGGGATAGAAGGCAAGAGAGAAAGAGAAAAATGAAGGAATGTGAAGAGGGAAGGATAGAGGAAGGGAAGGAAAAGAAAGAATGTAATGACAGAGTTGAAAGGAGAGAGGAAGGTAAAAGGATGGATTAAGGGAGGGATGGAACAATGGAGGAAAAAAACAGAAGGATGCATAGGGGGAAGGAGGTAGAACAGATGGATGGAGGCATGAACAGATGAAGGAAGGAAAGAAAGATGGAAGGTTAGAAGGAGTGAAAATGGGGGAGGGGGCTAAGAAATAGAAGAAAGATGGATGGTTAGAAGGAACTGTTAGGAGGGAGAGGGAGGCAAGGATGGATGTGAGCCGGGAAGGAGGGAAGAATGGAAGAGAGGCGGGAGGGCGGGTGCGGAAGGCACCTGTGGCAGAGTTGGCCTGCACTGAGGCTTCGAGGACGGCGCCGATGGAGACCAGGACCAGGCCGAGCCTGAGCAGGCGCCAGCCGGGCGGAGACGGCGGCAGCATTCTGCTTCCGCGTAGCAGCTCAGGGTAGCAATGACAGTCTGAGGCTGGAAGGCGGAACTGCTGCCGCTGCTGCTGCCGCCACAGGTGCCTTGTTGGGAAGCAGCAAAGAGAGCGCGACGCGGGGCGCCGCGGGCCCAGAGGCCCGGGCTACCGCCGCAGTGCCAGTGCGCCTGCGCGCCTCGTCCCTGCCCCACCCTCCGCGCAGCTGGGAGGCCCGGAGATCCCAGCGAGTGATCCCGTGATCCCAGCCACAGTAGGCGGGGCCAAGGGCAGAGCCTAAGCCTCCCAGCTACCTGCTGGTTTTGCCCATCCACAGACCAGCAGACCTGTCAACACAGGCCTCAGTAGACAGCAGCTGCGAGAATCTTTGGAGGTGTTGTGAAGGTTTTGAGACTCAAATATTGTCCTCAACTAGCAATTTCCTGCCTCTCTCTGCCTTTGCTCTTGCTACGCACTTCCCCCATCTCTGTATGAATGTCACACTTTTCCTTACAGCCCCGCCCCAACACTGTTCTTCAATGAGGCCTTTTGAGAACCGCCTTCCTCCATCTATAAGGATCCTCTTTCCTATTCTTTTGTTCAATATTTAGTAAGCAACACAAATATGTACACCAGATACTGTTGGGAGTGCTGGAGTTCTAAGTCCTGCCATTGTAGAGCTTAAAACAACAAATAAATAAACATGCAGAATGTTGGTGGGCATACCTGGTTTGGAAAAAATAAAAGTGGGGCTAAAGGGTACTTGTTATTTTCTATGCAGTGGCCAGGCAGGGCCTCACTAGGAAAATGATATTTAAACAAAAGCTTACAGGAAAGGAGCAAGCCCCATTGTTGTCACAGGAAGGATAGTCCAAGCAGAGGGAGCAGCAATTGGGGGGAACATGCTTGCCAGTGTTAGATGGCATAGAAGCAATAGTGGATGGCCTGGGAAAAGCAGCTGGCAGAGTGCAAAGGAGATTTGAGGAATGTGCGTCTTATGCCCTGTAGCAAAAATCATTCACTGTCCACATTGGCTGAAAGTCAGGACAGACAGTGAGCCTCTATCTACCACACTCAGAGCTTCTGGAAAAGTGGGCCCTCCATCTTTAACTTACCTCCAATCCTCCAGTAAGATAACTTAGCTCAATGCTAAGTAAAACAGACACTTCTCCTGAATGCATGAATGCAGAAGTATTAGTTTTGTTATTGGGGGGCTCCTATAGCCCAGGCACCATGGTAAACTAAAAGCAACAGTTTTTCTCCTTATAGCAACACCATGAGCTAGATGCTAGTAACATTCCCATTTTATGGATCTAGAAATTAAAACTTAATTAAAATTAAATCACTTGATCAAGGACACACAGCCAGGAAATGGAGGACAAGGTGGCTCTCCATTGAGAGGCATATCTCCTCAGAAGGTAGCCAGGGCATGGCCATCACACATGCCTTGCTGCCATTGCTGATGCACCTGCGTTGCTGTTTTAGGCACAAGAACTGATAGCTTTTCACACTGCAGCCTTGCAGGTTTCTCCTTGGGAAGGGCCAGTCTATGTCTGCAGTCCTCAAGCCAAAGCATAAGAAGATCCTCAGGTTGGGTCAGCTCTAGCCAAGGGCCTAAACTGCCAGGCCTTAGACACTTCAGCTATACCTCATCATCCTAACACTTTTCCTTCACTGATGACAGTTCACTGTCCCTTCTAAAACAACAGCCCTAATGATTCAGGAAACACTGTGATAAAAAGAACTCCAATAGATCTTTAGAAAGTTTGCTTTCTTACCTTTTTTTTTTCTTTCTTCATCATCTGTAATACCTTCTTACTAGCAATAGGCACTTCCTTTGAGCCTACAAGCTAAGGGTCTTATTGTATCATTCTTTCCCTTATTGAAAGTCATTTAAAAAACTAATAATTCTATAAACCCCAGGATGCTCAAAGAAGGGAATGAGGCAAAAAGGTCAACACAGTTCCTGCTTCTAAAAATATGTTCAGTTCTTTTTGTGGATTCATTTCTAGTTGGCAAATAAGTTTCCTGAATATCACCCATCCAAATATGGGGTACATTGAAGATGTCTCCTTTCACTCAGTCTTTTTTCCGATTATGGACATGGCTCAAATGAGGACAGATCTATAACTGAGACTGAACTTGCAGGGCAATGAGAGGGGTTTGAGGGTTAAAATGCAAAAATAGATGGTGATAATCGTGCAGTAGAAATGAAAAACAAAGCTGAAGAGAATCACATAGTTCAGTTTAAGAAACACAAATATCCCAGCTTGGCTATCGACACCCTAGCCTTGAATGTTTCCCACTATTGAAAGGGCAACGCTGATATGTTTACAAAGTACTTAAATATTCATTCCAACAGACTGGGATATGAAACATCCCCACCCAAATATCAGCAGTATTCACACAGTAACTTCCTTTCATTGAATATTTTTAAGTGTGAAATTCACAAAAAACTAAAATATTTAGCTGAAAATATCATAAACTCAAGCCTCTATTTTCATATTTAATGCCTCAAGATTGGCACTCCTTCATACCTCAGTTCTCACATGAGATTTACTAGGAATATTAAAAGCAAACAATCTCAATCTTTCTATAAAAATGTATATAAATAATATCAAACAAATTTCTAAAATATTAAATAATTAATGATCAGTTCCTTTTCAGTACAAATCAATGTGCCAAAATATGCATGCACTTACTACCTCTTGTGAGTTGAATTTATCAGAAAGCTGACTCTGAAAGAGTTAAGCATGCAGGATGTTGTTATGGAATGCCTTTGGAAAGAACACCTGTGGAAGGAAAGGAAGGGAAGCAAGATTAGCAGAGGAATCAGTCAAACTGTAATATGGGCCATGGCTTACCCCATGGGGCAATCTAATGATTGAATAGTCCTTCAGAGTTGTCCTGAGTTAGGCTGAGATGGCCAAACATTTATAAACCACCTTGATAATTCATTGCATATGAATACCCCAGAAAATGTCTGATCTTAGGCAAGGTGGCTTTCTGAAACTGAGGCAAGTCCTGAAGAGAGGGAAAGCAGAAGGCTGTCTTCCCAGGCTTCCCAGCAACTGAGGCAAAAAAGTCTACATTGAAAGAGGGGTCAAGGTGGCAAAGCTCTATGTTCAACACTTCTCTTCCTCTATTTAAAATAATCATGAAGAAGCTAGGGACAGTGGCACACACCTGTAATCTCAGCAACTTGGAAGGCTGAAGCAGAAGGGTCACAAGGCCAGCCTCAGCAACTTAGCATAACGTTGTCTCAAAATAAAAAATAAAAAATGTGAGGTATGTAGCTCAGTGGAAAAGCACCTCTGGATTCAATCCCCAGTACCAAGAAAATAAAAAATAAAAATAAAAAGGAACAAAAATAACATAAATTGACAGAAAGAAAGGGAGAAGGTGCTCAAAATCATGAATTCTTGGGGAAATGCAAATCAAAAACACAATGATAACACCAAAAATCAAATAACTCAGGGCTGGGGATATAGCTCAGTCGGTAGAGTATTTGCCTCACATACATAAGGCCCTGGGTTCAATCCCCAATACCACAAAAAAAATCAAATAACTCAATCAATAAATAGGCAAATGAACCAAACACATTTCTCAAAAGGAGAAATTCAAATGACCAATAATTATAAGTAAAATGTTCAACATCTTCAGCAAACAGGGAAATGCAAATGATCAAGAATTATAAGAAAAAAATGTTCAACATCTTCCGCAAACAGGGAAATGCAAGTCAAACCAACCCTAAGATTTTATCTCAGTTCAATTATAATGGCAAGTATAAATATATTATAAATATAATATAATAAATACTGGTGAGGATGTGGTAAAAAAGGAATACTTTTTTCCTGTTGGTGGTATTATAAATTAATACAACCACTATGGAAATCTATATGGAGCTTCCTCAAAAGACTAGAAAAGGAAAGATTATATGACCCAGCTTAATCACTCCTAGGTATTTATCTGGAAGAATTAAAATCGGCATACTACAGTGATATATGCATATCCCATAACAGCACAATTCACAATAGCCAAATAATGGTACCAGCCTAAGTGTCCATCAACAAATTAATGGATAAAGAAAATGTGGTTTGTATACACAATGAGTTTTATTCATCCATTAAAATAATGCAAGTATGTCATTTGTAGGAAAATGGATAGAACTGGAGAACATTATGCTAAGTGAAATAAGCCAGATCAGAAAGAAAATGGTCAAGTGTTTTCTCTCATAAATGGAACCTAGAAAGGAAAAAGTTTTTTTTTTTTTTTTTAAAGTGAGGGGTCACATGAAAATAGACGGAAGACCAGTGGAGTAGAGGAAGGGAGTGAGGAAAAACAAAGAGAGAAAGGAAACGGGGAAGTAGTGGGGAAAGTTGATCAAATAATGTTATGTGCATGTACAAATATGCCAAATCCAAATATTATGAAAAATTAGAATGCACAAAAAATGTTTTTAAAAAGCACAATGAGCTAGGTGTGTTGGCACATGCCTATAATCCCAGCAACTTGGGAGGTTGAGGCAGGAGGATTAAAAGTTCAAGGCCAGTCTGAGCAATTTAGCAAGTCCCAGTCTCAAAACAAAATTTTTAAAAAGAGCAGGGGATGTAACTCAGTGCTTACCTAGTATGTGTGAGGCCATAGGTCCAATCCCAGTACCAAAAAAGAAAAAGAGAAAGAGAGAAAGAGAGAGGGCGGGGGAGGGAGAGAGGAAGGAAAGGAAAGGAAGAAAGAACCCACATGAGATAGTATTTTACAGCCACTAAGAAAGCATAAAAAAGATTGAAAATGACAAGTATTGATGAGGATATGGAGAAATTGGAAGCTTTGCATTTAAATCATTTAAAATTATTCAGCTGCTGTAAAAAAGTTTTGAAGTCCATCAAAAAGTTAAACAGAATTACCATACCCAGCAGCTCTACTCTTAGTTATATATACCCAAAAGAATTAAAGACACTAAAAAAATATACATCTATTTTCATAGCAGCACTATTCATAAGAGCCAAAAGGCAGAAAAATCCATAGGTCCATCAATGGATGAACAATCTCATCAGAACATACAATGGAATATTATTCATTCATAAAAATGAATTAAGTTTGAATACATGCTACAATATGCATGAATCTTTAAAATCAGCATACCAGAAGCCAGGCACAAGTTTGTATG